GTTACATACCCTTTCTTCAGTTGGCACAACGTCTCCAAAACCTATTGTAAGATATGTAACATACTGAAAATAAAAGGCAGTACCGAAATCCCATCCTTCCATCCAACAATGTAACGCGCCCGTTAGAGCAGTRAACGCAAATAAGATAAATAGAGCCAGCCATAACGGTGCATCAACCTCTCCATCGTCACCTCCTGTATTCCTAAAAAGAAAAGTATTTCATTAAGATCTGCTGATAGCATTTCATGGTCAGGCAGTCTCTTATGTTGTAGTTCAGTGATTTTGAAGAAAGCAAACTTGATTATTCAATTTTGACTTTTTACGTCTCTATTACGGCTAGGCTTGAATACAGCTGTTGTAATAAGTCATTGTTATTTGGTGATAAGCTTTTCGCAATGACTTTATGCGGGACAAGACTAGCCTGCGTAGCGTCCCTAAGGGGATTGGGGATKGCCGAGCGGGGAATGCCACTTTGACATTTGATTGACAGCTTGTTCGCAACGCAGGCTGGACAAGACGAACTTTATAGGCATTACACAGAATTGTTGTTACTCACTTGCTTTCATATTCGTATTGGGGATACAAACGTTTAAACCACTTCATAAATAACGAGCAGATGTGGTTAATGTAGTCACCGACCACTTTACCGACTACGGCCAGTAACGCCAAAGTCAGCGGTATTCCTAGTAGTGCATACACCACACAAACCAATCGACCAGCGAACGTGACAGGTGCTAGTGTTCCATATCCTAAACGTAAGTGAAATTTTGATGAATATCTTGAAGCTTAGCGCACACAATGAAGTAACACCTTACGAAATGCGTTTATACAATGAATGATCAGTAAAGCATCGTAACACAATCTAACGTCACGCAACGCAACCGAAATCTATGCATACTTCCATGCAATGTAACAGGACCGGAAGGCAGGCGAGAAGCAAATAAAGCCAATATACGCAAGGCCTTAACAAACAACGTACGCAGCGCAACCATAAACGTAACATGACATAACGTACCTATGGTAGTTGTAACAGTCAAACAGAAGAATATCGAGTTRAGAACCGTCCACTCTGGTTTTGACGCATCGTTTCGTTCGTTGGTAATTTGATTAAGTATTTTATCAAATTCATCTATATCAGACGCTGTGAAGTTMTTTATTACGTCTTTGCCACTGGTAAAAATAGGCAGCGTTCGGTATCCAACACTTGAATTCTATTTAATAATAGCAAAAAATGGTTTAATTGAATGCAAAAAAGTGTATTTCTGAATATATTTCAAATGCCCACTGATTTCTTTGTACTGTTGTGATAATTATATAACCATCTRGGGTGTTCCATTTAGGGGCAATTTCCCCCCTCCTTCCATGGTGATTGACAGCTCAAGAAACCCCGAATTGTAAAGATCTATTAACTGTCAGTATCAGTTAGAAACGCATGAWAGGTGATGCGACACTGGTTCTACTGTTATTCCGAATCAGTAAAMGCCTGGTATGTTGTTAACGAGCTCTATGCACTATCAAGGAATYCTCTTGTGAGCCTCGTCCACATTATGCATTTTAGAAGCGTTTTCGTAATATTTTTGGTCGCCTTGAGTAAGGAGAATCATACCGTTACGAAACGTATAAGTATGGACGTGGTCTTAGAGCTCACAACGGATGGTAAGGAMTTATGGGTAGTTCCCGCGCCACAGCAGCAATCCCTCGTCCAGGCAATAATTATTCTCGCTTTATTTTTTTGATAATCCTCACGTTCATACTGGCATGCGATGAAAAAAAGCAGATAAGTTCAAGAATCCATTTCATTCAGGTTACGTGCATGTGGGCGGAGCCTGAAACACAGCATCGCACATCAATTGGAACATGATGATCTTCTCACAGCTCTTCTATTCTATCGCTTTCTCAGAAGCGTGAAATATATTCCTTACCGACTAATGGACTTGAAATAGTAATCTTTTCATTGCATTGCATAAATGTAGGGAATTCTTATGGAATTACGTCTTGAATTCAAAATTGATGTTAATTCTCGTATTTGAACGAGTCTGAAGAACTAGGGAACTGTACTTAGAGTTGACGGGTGATCTCTCAGGGTACTTCTCCATGCTTTCATGATTTTCTAGCAAAGAGTCACAGTCAACGAGTTTGTCAACAACTTATATACCCAACTCCAACAATTCAGAGCATGAGAAAAATCTAGTTATCTTTACAAATACAACTCGCATGCACGCGGTGAAGGGAATTCGCAGTCATGGGAAAATGAATTCATTGTACTTTTGATTAAGACTTTGTGGCGAATTTCTGCAATTTTTAAATGGTTTCAATTTGAAAATCTTCTTTCTTTAATAGAAGTTTGTAGACTAAAACTAGTAACAGCCTGTTAAGCAAAGCTTCTTCATTCGTTGTCTGTGGTGATGTCCAAAATGAGCGTTTATCATAATGAATTACTTCCAAATTTACCATCTAAGATCAGTATCTGGCACTTAAATACAAACATGCTGCTGAGGTTTTYCCCTCGATGTATTTATTTACATTGAGGAGAAAACAAAATCGCAACAATTCGAGAGAATATTCAAATTCAATATTGGTTGCAATACACCGCGAAAGATTCAAAGTCTGTTATTGCACAGTCCAGCTGAGCGCGGGTCAAAGCAACTATCTTCTTGACTTCACAATATATCGCGAAAAATAAAGAATATAGTCTAGTTATAACTTCTTCCCAAGATCAGTGCTTTTAATAGAGCAATGATKAAGATTTATATGTAAACCGTGAATTTTCAGGACAAGAAATCCCGTTTTTTCTGCATAATTTATGGTTCTTATGGACCACAACATTATATATTCGCGAGCATTACATTAATTATATTTGATTAYTGAGATATTTCCAAATATAAAAGATAACCAAAACGCTATATAGAATAATTTAGATATATACTAAAATTCTGGTGATTTTAGAGGCGTAATTGGAAATACAGTGCTAACAAACTTATAAAAAAAGAAAACAAGTTTGTACTACATTGTTATACTAATTGAGTCATGGCGCCCAAAGTTAGGCAGATGTGAAAGAACTAAAATGAATGTTTGCTTTCAAATCAATTTGATTTAAGAAATGACAACTGTCATAACAAGCTCTTTMCAATATTCTCTTTTCAGAATAGAAAAGATCTTTTGCATTTGTAATATCTCAAGAAATCTTATTTACGCGCCAAACTAGCCACTGAGAACGAATTACAATCGCAGACTTGGAACGGGGTGTCTCTATAAGTTAATTTTTCAGAAATCATTGCTCTCGCGTAAACTTYCCGTGGAAAMGTTTTTGTATCGATCTGCAGGAAAAGTTTTCATCATCTGTGCAAGTTTCACTTTATTAGGATGTTTACATCAGACAATACCGCAAAATAACATGGAATTATGGAATTCTCTAAACTTTTCACAACATTTCTGCAGCACTTACCTTTAGAATATCGAAAATATTTACAAGTTCCTCTGATGTGCTGTATTCAACTTTTGGTGTCTTCTCAATTGCCATGAAGATCAATCCCCCGAGTACTAGATACAACGTGTTGATAGCCACCATAAACAGAGGAAAAGCTGCTCCACGCTGGCGTACTTTCTTGGTAACCCAAGAAATCCATTTCATACTGCCTTTAAGTTTGTCAACATGTTTAGAAGCGTCGATGTTTTTGATCGACTTTTTTAGTTTGTTAGGATGCAATTTGGACTTAATTCCTTGCGATTTAGATTTCTTACTGTCCAGCATACTTTCTTGATCTTCGCCAGCTTCATCTTCTTTCTTTTTGAAAAAGGGCATATTGAGTCCTGGCCAAAAACTCGCCAAGGAGTTTGCCTAATATTRCGAGAGTCTACAATAGGAGAAATTTATGCAGCTAAATGAATCCAGCCAAAGACGCTTAGATACGACGCTTCACTCATGAACGGATAACATTCGTTTGGAGTTCAGTGAAGTGTTTCTCAGTTCAATTTTGTTATGCTTGAATGCAAAAAGACCGCACTCAAACAGAGCTGTTCTTAAGAGAACAAATCAGCTCTCTGTACACAAAAACCACAAAGCAATTCGACTGTTAGAGCTCATTCAACCTGATAAGAAAAAAATGGAAATTTTTTACACCCTTTGAAATCAGGACAATTAGATTTGTGAAAGAGTGTTTAGTTTTCTACCAATCCAATTCCCGCAGTTCCATGCGTAGGAGTCTGTTACAAACTTGATCTGCGTTTCGCGTTTTTTTGGGATTTCCTTCGACCATCCTCGGCGGTCCGTGCTTCWGAATCTAAAAAATAAACAACAGTTTTAGTTTTCATTTATCATCATAAAAATATCTTTATGTTTATATCTATAATATTCTTATAGTTTGATTCATTCAATGCGCATCGCATTTAGACCTGTGAGAAAGATTTCCATACCAAAGATTTTCAAACCAATGCGCACAATATCAGGTCCTTTAAAATGCATGTTTTCAGTATACTCTATTTCAAACATTTAAATTATTGTCCCAATTTACAATTAAAATCTTAGTATTTTTAGCGTGGGTTGAAATTACAAAAGAAATAGAATAAAAATATAAACATACCATTGCGAAATTAACTCCATGTATCAAACTAAGGCGTAAGAACTTACAAGAATAAGGAGTTTCTCACCATAGGAAGGAAAATAAGACAAGAATTGACCTGGAGGACGGTTTATTAAGAATTAAATCTACATGTTTACTCAAAATTTACAGTCATTTTTTAAAAATATTTCTGTAAAATGATAAAGTTAATAATTTATGACAAAATTATGAACGTAGCAACACTAGGTTCCTAGCGCATGCGCTGTTAACGTATTCAGACAGTGTGTGTCCAATCACTTCAACGCCTTGTAATAAGAATATAAAAACAAAATTGAAAGATTCAAAGCGTTAATCAAGTGAAATATTTTTGATAGAGTGAATTACAATGGCAGCAAGTATAGATTCACCTGTCACAGTTATTTACAAAGATTATCACCACAAAATCACCCTCCTTSGTCTATATCAGGGGCACTGTCTTAGTTCGATTCATTAATAAATCAATCTGTCTGTCCGTCCTTCCGTATCTCTCATTCCCTCCTTTCTTTGTCCTTTCGTTTRATCACTCAATTATCCTTTCCCTTCATTTGTTCTTTCATTTATTCATGCATTTATTCTTTTATTTCAGTTGTTTATGCAGAGTTCTATTGCATAACTGATCTGATTATTCATCAAAACCTTCCATTCATTTGTTCTCTATTTCTTCCATTTCTTTCGCCATTCTTTCATAAAGAAGTCATCTCATTGYACTGTCAAATGTACTGACCATATTCACAACTATAATGACTTCATAAATATCATTTAAATGACGGTGTGTCACATAAATTGATAAACTAAACCCAGTCACAGAGTRCGTATTCAATCAACATTTTGCTTTATAAAACAAGAAAAAAGAATCGCTGAATAAATAAGACAAATAAACTAGCGAGTGCTGACCCATTTCATTTTAAGGCAATCACATAAATAACTAAGTATAGTTTCAGCTCACATAGTTGCCTTAGGCATATCGTGTAATAAATCTTGYACGGAGTACTTTGTGTCTTTTTTAAATAAGGGAGGTGCAATGATTGAAGAAAATTGTTTCTCTTGTAACKAATTGTACAATACTATTGAAAATGGAGAGCAATCCCCTTAGGTGTTTGATGATCCTCCGTTAAGGCCATCGATCCCAATGCGGAAAAGATACAGAAAAAAATCGGGAGTTATTCCTGAAGGCGACACGGTAACGTGAGAGAATAAAGGGGGCGAAGTGATCAGTTTCAATACGCTGCGATCGACGTAAAAAAGGAAAAAAAACAATTCTGAGAACATTATTTAGTCGGAATTAGATTTTTGACGGCCATAAGCGTATTAAAACATTTACATCGAGTAAATCAAAACTCCAAAAGAACTTTTTGACCAACTATTCTTACCTCTGAATGGAAAACAGCGTTGATGAGGTCTTCGGTGGAGAAGAAAGTTGTCAAGAAGAGGAATGGGATCGGGATTATCCTGCCATCCACAACAAAATCAATGAAAACACTCCAAAAGCTGAATAAGTAATGACTTAGAGTACTTAATAATACATGGATAGCCAGTCTAAATGACTCAGTGGGGAGAAAGATTTAATTGAATCCAATACACATACAGTGCTTTTGTCTTTTTATCCAACTTGCTTTTTTGGTGTTACCATTTTTAAATTAATTCCTTAAAAATCTTMACTGTTTAGTTTCTGGAGGTGTTGATATGAAACTGAAGGACGCAAAACAGTGAGCTTCAGGCACACGTATAGTGAGTAATGGTTGATGGTGAACGCGTGATGCTGATGAGCCGGCGCTGTTGACGAGTTCCAAGTCYAATCGTGGATCTTACCTTGCGATACCATTTCACCGTGGAGTTACTCATTAATTTACCCCATTAGTTGGCTGCAAGATGCCAAAATCCGATACATGAGCTGGATATAGTCGCGGCTTGCTGCATGATCAATTACAAATTGCACAACTAAACTTAGCGATGATAAAMRRAAAATTTTGTGGCTTGAAATTATAACTGTGGTTCATGTTTACATACTGAATTCCACTAATTTTAAGCATACATTAACACGCGAAAACACTCATGGGAATTCTCTGATATGACATTTAAATTTCCCGCTTGAGTTAGTGCTCGTAAAAGCCTGGTAACGATTCAGATTTGAATGCAGCGAAGTTCGGATATATTAGAAGATGTTTTGTGTGGCGTTTGTACTTGGTTTGTCTGTCGTTCATTTAACAGGTAAAGCACGTCAAAAGAGGCACTAAAATGAATGGTTCTAATCGTCTGTACTTCATYACACTTTCAGAATCAGAAGACATCAGCATTAGCTGTAAACTGCAATACATTGAGGTCTCAATACTGCGGAGATCATTCAAACATCTTAAAATTTTCGAATTACATTTCAAGGACACATTGTGTAAGCCAAGCGGGAACTTAACTCACGTGACTTTAAGAGCACCCTTATTTGGATGTGGGACAGAAATATCACAATCTCCAAATAAGTTACAAGATATATTTTCCAATTCTGTTCATGGGATAGAACCAAGTATAGCTGTAAGGTGCACATATCCAAAAGGAACTGTCACTGACAATGGTGAAGACCGACACAGGGATCAAAGTAGGTAAATTGGGATTCATTTGGAATAAATTAAGGCGTAAAAACTTGACCCGATCACCATTGCGAGACCATAAGTTTCCTAGTGCTTACTGCTAAATAATAGAGCTGATTTCATATGAACGTGCAAATGACAAGCCGCCACGATCACGGAACCTTGTCTGGTAATAACAACAAATGAAAACACAGTTTCAGTTGTGCGGTCTCGGTACAAAAYTTTTCATACGAAATCCGCTCTAGCCCGATCAAACTTGTAGTCTATGGTGCAAAACCCGGCCACTTGGTTGACATTGCGTAGGACGACACACATTTCAACGATCTCGGAAACAAAGCCTGGTAT